ATGCCGAGTTCACACTGCACGATTTTAGCCCGATTTTTCACTCGCCGACAGGTTTTGCGAAATCGCCGACAAATGCCCGAAAGCGGAGACAAATCGGTGCTCGTTCACGCGAGTGAAAATCACACAGTGTGAATTATCAAAGACGCGATCTGAGGAAATCGCTGACACGTCGCTGACGCCCGTGAAATATTTGGCATGCTAAATATCTGGAGCTGTCGGCGATTCACAATCACGCTGTGTGAAATGAGTTCTGACTGAAAAACACATCGGCGATGACCTACAGCCAATGAGAGACCAAGATACAGGGCAGCGGGAAGTTCGGGGAGGAGTTATAGAAAACATAGTTTGCGGACCAGTGTTGCCAAATCCGCGATTGCTGCCGGTTGTTTTTTATGTCATTAGGTTGAAGCGGCCCCAATAAGTGATATTTAGGCCCTGGAACGTGAATTGTACCAGGAGAACCCCGCCAAATAAATTTGTATTTTACCCCCGAATGCGATTTTTACTGGGGGACCCCCTCGAAAGCAATTGGGCTATTTTCAGGCTAGTTTTGAGTAGTAATTGGGCGGGTTTTGTAGCGAAAATCTGGCAACCCTGCACCAGACAGAGCTGTCGGCAATTCTTCCTATTGTGAAGTCATGCAGTGTGAAACCCCGTCGCTGATCCATCGTGCAGTGTGAACACAGCAGCAACTGAATGCTACCCCAGATAGTCACGCAGTGTGAAAACAACGAAACAACGGCGAGTTTGAAAATTGAATAAAATACTTGGCATAAAGCACTTGAGCTGAAACTAAATGAAAATGAGAAATGTAGAAATGTTTACTAGCTTAATATATTTTACTTCAGCTAACATTTATTTTATTTCAAGAAATATTTTTTTTTGTTTGTTTTATTTAATGATAATATCCCTGATTTAATCATCATTTAATTAGTTGTATATGTTAATGCATTAACTAGGATATTTGAAGGTTTCAGTATTTTTTGATAATATATCAGGCTCTTTTTTTATCTTTTAAGACATTCATTTTATCTGTGTAGTTCTGATGCTTTAGTGTATTTAGCAGTCGTGTGAAGGTCTGTTTTCTGCGGTGTGATTGCGGTGTGAATGAAGCTGTAATTCTGCATGCACTGCTCGTTAGACTGTATTATGTGTATCTGTGAATGGGAAGTTTTTTTTTTTACCATCTCTCTCTGTGTGTCTCAGGGTTCGTCGGGCCGAACGCGGAGTTTCTCTCTGCTTCCTCACCTCCCTCCGTCTTCCTCTCCTGCATCTCAGAGACATCTCCCTCACCATGGGCCTCAGAGCAACATCGTTACCATCACGCACCATAAGTCGCCTGCAGCCGCCCGCCGGGCCAGAAACCAGTACCCAGAGCGCCTCCTGGATGTCAAAGAGGTCAGACACATACACCTCAAACACTGGACTGATGGAGGATAATAACAGACCATCATGAATCTTCTGTCTGATCTAATGCAGAATTAAAGAACATTTAAAAATATTATTAAAATAATTTAAGATTTATGTATTTAAATTGGGTAAACAATTTCCATCCATTAAGATGACACAGTTTAACAAACTAATAAACGTAATATTATGCATATTTGTCAGTCATACATAAATAAAAACAGTTTTCTAATTTGTTTCAATCTCATACATTTTAACTGACTGAATATTACTTGTTCCACAGTTAGCCATATTTGAACCATGCTCATACTTTAAACTGAATAAATGTAATTGTTTTCACAATAAACAGATTTATGCTGATTCCAAACAATTTAAATAAATGCATTTTGAAAATATGATTATTTAAATTAAATCAAATAACTGCAAATAACCTAGTTAATATTAAACTATGGCATAATTTTTTTTTTTGAGAGCAGAAATCTGACCTGTTTCATTTATGTATGACTGACAAGTAGGCTATGCATCACCTTGAGTTTATTTGGTTATGTTCAAATAAAAGCATTATGTTAAAATTGTGTAATCTAATGAACGAAATTTTAAATGCAATTTAAATACATTTGTGTGTTTGTGTGTGTGTGTGTGTGCTCCTTTCAATTAATGTCCATGAATGTGAACAGAATTTGTCACATTTCACAGAATGTTGAATTGGACTTTGGAAGAGGGAATAACTGAATTGAAATTCAAAGGAATTTAACAGAGCATAAGAAATTAATTAGTTCCAATAGTGAGACAAAATCAAACATATAGTCAAATTATGTGAGCTGGATCAAGCTTTAATCTGTGCAAATCAAATTATTACTGGAGAGCTGCTTTATAGGAGAAAATCATGTTGTAATTGTAATGGAAAGCAACAACTGACAATGCTTTTTGTGTGCGCGCGCGTGCGCGTTTAATACTGTAAAGCTGCTTGCTTTATAGCTATATCTATTGTATAAAGAGTTATATAAATAAACGTGACGTGATGAATTGCAGAGCTGTTGCAAATATATCCACGTGGCTATGATCAGATGCTTTCTTAACTGCTGTTTTCTCACTACTAGCATTTTAGTTGTTTTATTTTGTTATTGAGGGGAAATTGCATTTGCATATTCATCTAAACGCTGCTCTCAGCAGGATGCGGATGTTCGCTAACAGTTAAACGCTGCTTTTGTAACTTATACAGAACTTTTTACCTCGAAAACTTCACTGTGAGTAGGCTATATCCGCCTTTAAACATGACAACACATTTTTTTGTAGTATTGTAACGCGTACCCTCACTCTACTGGTTCTGCTTCGTTTGTATTCGATCCGAAGTAGCGATATATCGATACTGACGCGAGTATCGAAAGTATCGATACTCAAACAAAAAATATCGATACTAAGGTGCGTTTTATTTACCAGTGGTTTTGTTTATTTAACAAAAATAATAATAATAATAATAATGCGTACAATATGCATTGAACTGGACGAATAATCTTTGTTAGCGAGTAATTGTGTAGGATAGAACTATTTTCCTGCTCATCTGAACACATGCAAATGTTGCAAGACAGAACCAATCAATCACAGAGAGCGTTCACTCACTGCTGACAGTGCATTCAAACAGGGCTGCGTTTCCCAAAAGTATCATAAGAAAGCATTAAAGCTTTTGGGAACGGCAGCCCTGAACAATGCTTATCAGAGGACAGAAATAAAAACATAAATGTTTGAGTTATTTCACAATAAACAAATTGAAATTGTAGCCTACATAGTTTGTGCAATTACAATTA